TTGTAGAGGTGTTGGATTTTCTTGTAGATTATGGAGATTAGACCTTTGTCTGACTTGTACTGTCCAAAAATTTTTTCCCAGTGTGTAGGTTCTCTCTTTACTCTTTTGGTGAAGTCTTTTGTCCGTACACATTTTTGAATATAGATACGTAAAAGAGACTTTAATCTCAAAGCACGATTATAATATCACTTCAGTTTTTTATTTCTAAGATATAAATATATGCAAAATTAACTCAGTTTCAAACTATACTCAGTTACTAAGGTTCTTATGTTTATCACAAAGAGAAAAAATATAATTAAGAGTCTCATATTCCAGATACTTTGAAAGATACTGTACGATTATAAAAAAATAAAACAAATTAATATAAGCCTTATCATTAGGATTGTGATCCTTTTGATGTGTTTCTTCTCAGTCTGTTTTTTGGTCCATGCATAGATTCATTTCAATCAATAGCATTAATTTTGTTGCTTTTTAACTTATGGTAAGCAATTCCCTGATTCCCTGTTCATCAGATTTCCTTTGAAGGAATCACTGTTTAATGTACACATGCAGTTTTGTTGTTTGGATGTATCTAATTTGTTTAACTCTTCCTCCTACAACTGGCCTTTTTGGTAATTTCTAATTTTTGTTTGTTGTGTGTCATGATGAAATAGATATAGTTGGATATACTTTTTGTCAGATTTGGTGACTGTTAGCTTAGGTTCCAGGAGAGCAAGGGTTGAGGCTGTCCATGTGCGTTGCCAGGCTGCTTGAGAAAACCTGTTCTGGGGACCTTTGTGGCTGTGTGTGAGCCTACCTAAGTTTGCTTTTGCCTGTGCCTACTATCAAAATGCTTAAAAACCTTCGGAGTTTTGATTAAAATAAATGGCATTGTATTTTAGTTGGAATGTTCACCATGTTTTCTTGATTCCAGTGATTGAAGCCATATCGTTGCTTTAGTGGCAGTGTTTGGGAGGGACCGAGTACCACACAAAAATATACTTTGATTTCAAGATACATCACAGGAACCCTGGTGGCACAGTGGTTAAACGCTAGGCCGCTAACTGAAAGGTTAGCAGTTCAAACTCACAAGCCACTCCACAGGAGAAAGATGTGGCAGTTGGCTTCCATAAAGATGGCAGCCTTGGAAACCCTATAGGGCAGTTCTACTTTGTCCTCCAGGGTTGCTATGAGTCAGAATCAACTCGACGGTGTGGGGAGTGGGCAAGATACATCTTGACTTGAGAAACATAAAGGTGGGCAGGATGTGTATCCTAGAACCAAGGAAACGGTCTGAAACTCAGTGAGGACTCACTGAGTGTGCCATGCATTTTATACTTTCCTTTTAGTGTTTAGAAGATAATACTATTTTCCCAGTCTAAGAATGAGAGAACTCTGTTACAGAGAGGTGGAGTGACTTGCCCAAGATCAACACATCTTGTAAGTGATAGAGCTGGGAGTCAAACCCAGAGACACTTGACTTTAGAAATTCTTAGTCATCCTACAAAAAGACTTTGAAATGTTAGCTTGCAGGAGCAGGGATTGTTTTCTTATTCTGCTTTATCAAAAGAAAATTGAAGTCAAATGACCTTTTGTATTGGTTTTAGTACACATAATCTTTAGAATGAGAATATAGACAAAATTAATACCTGAAATCTTAGGACCCAGAATTATTCTCTATTAACATTAGTACATACAACCTTAAGATATGATTTCTTTATCTAAATACATGTAGGTTTATATATTTTGATAAGAAATGGGATACCGTGTATTTCTCATCTAGCTTTATATTGTGAACATTTTTTTCATGTTAAAAAAAATACAGATATAAATTGTAATTGTCAGGATTTTTACAGTTCCTAATGCTGGAAACGCAAATCATTAATGGTTAAGCAAAAAAAGAAGAAAGAAAAATAATGTAACTGCTCTGGTAACTGGGAAGTTGAGAGATGAAGCTGCTTTTAATAATAGCTGGATCCAGAGGTGCCTAATAACATCAGATCTCGCCTTTTACTCTTGACTCTTTTTCTGGTTTGGTTTCGTCCTCAGGCTCTCTGTTTTGTTGGGAGAGTATCTCTTCCCACTTTAGTTCTAAAAAAAAGTACCAGGGCTTATGCTTACAGGGCCATAGTCACTGAGGCCAGGGGATAGAGTGGTTTAAAACAGTGCTTGTCAGACAGTATCGAGCTGTGGTTCTCAAGTAGTGGATGTCACTGTCCCCTTGGGCACGGTGTCCCCTTTGCTCAGGACAGCCTCATTTTATGCCTGTTGTCCCTGCATAATTACTAAGATCACCACCCTCTTTAACTCTCTGAAGTACTTCTGAGATTGTGGCTGAGGGCACTTTGGCTTATTTGTATTTAGTTCCTGGGTGCCAAGGATGCCAACTAATCTCCTTACACAGAATCACTGTATTGCACTGTTCCAGAGGGCACCACTCATGATATACCAACCGTGAAGGGTGCCCGTGAACTTGGCAATGCCATGTGCAAGGGAGAATTTTTCTCTCAACACACCAGTGGTATGCTGCTTGACCAGCATTGGTATATGTTGTACACTGTGGGATTTGGATTCTGGGTTCAAATTCTGGCTCTGCTATTTGTAGTGTCACATTGGCAGGTTTGCTTAACTGCTCTGTGCCTCGATTTCCTCATTTTCCTTAGCTTGAGCCCACGTCCCTCCCAAATCTTATATGGAGCCTTTAGCATTTTCACCTTATTTATGGAAACTCTTCATTAGTATTCAAACTGCAAAAGCTGCATAAAGTCACAAAGCCTGAAGAGGAAGCAAGATTATGTTCACATTGTCACTACTTAGGCTAGTCTTGCCAGGTGTAGGCTCGACTGTGATTTTTTTTTAATGCATTTTTGTTTTCAGTTCATTTTTTAAAGAATATTGTCTTAGTACATGAGATATAATATTGTGATGGAACTATCTGTGTGAATATGTGAGCGTGGGTGAAACGTGTATTTACAGAGACTCGCGGATTTATTTACTGTTAAATTACAAATAATAATCAGCATTATTGAAATGATATTTAGAAGATATTTTATTTCTTTGTAAGGCCAATATTTTATAGAGCATATTTAGTACATTTTTCTATTTAGTTTCCAGTTTCTAAATAAGTGTTCAAATAAAATGTAAGACTAGCGTATGCAAGCTGAATAACCATATAAATGTACAAGGCAGTCTTTATCCTTATATGGAACTTACAGCTCTTCTGTAGTGACTTCTCTCCCTTTCCATTTCAAAATTTTGATTAAGTGTGACAGGAACGATTTAAGCTGTGACAAAATGTGTGAGTGAGCTATTTTAGGTAGTTTCTCAAAGGAAGGGAAGGACACTCCTGTTTTGTCAGGCATCTCAAAAATTCTTTCGGTAATGATTTCTTCAGATTCCTCATAGGTTTAAGCTAATGAGCTAAATGATTTTGACATTGATGGTGCACATATATTGGGCAACTTACTTTCTTTTTCCCCCTCTCATTTTTAGGATACTGAGTAATAATAAAATATCCGAGCTGAAGAATGGCTCATTTTCTGGGTTAAGTCTTCTTGAAAGATTGTGAGTATTCTTTCATTACCATTTCTTATTACTGCTTTTATTTAATGCATTTTTATTGTAAACCTATCACTAAACTCCCAACTTTTTAAAGTAGAAATTGAGTTTTTTTCCAACGTGTTACTATGAAAATTTTCAAAAATTGAATTTTAAAAAACAAGCAGTTGCTTTAAGCAGGGACTAGTGAACTTTTTGTGAAGACCCAGATAATAAATCTTTTGGATTGTGTGGTCTCTTTTGCAGTTACTCAACCCTGCCATTGTAGTGTGAAAGCAACCACTGCCAATAAGTAAACGAATGGGTGTGCATCTGTACCACTAAAACTTTATTTATTAAAACATGCGATGGGCTGTAGTTTGCTGACCATTGGCTTAAAATGTAGATGCTGTTTTGAAATTCTGTATCATGAAATGTGTTTACCTTATAAGATAGGGATAGAATTTTAAAAAAAAGTTAAGAAGCTAAACTTCTGGATACACTTTGATATTTTGTTTATATGTCTTTGAATATGATAGTCATTTGTTTTGTTATATAATATTGTATTTTTGTGAATGTTTACACAGCAAGTTAGGTTCCCATTTGACAGTTTCTACACAAATTGTTCGGTGACATTAGTTACATATTTCATAATGTGTGAACATTCTCTTTAATTGTGTTCTGGTTGTGCTGTTTCCCGTACTCTAGTTTCCCTACCTCATTATCTTTTCATCTTTGCTTTAGAGTAATTGTTGACCTTTTGGTCTCATATAGATGTTTTTCTCGTGGAACATTGTACTCACAGATGATATCCTTTATTTTATGTGCCATCTGTTATTTTGCTAAAAGGTGACCTCAAGATAGTTTGGGTTCAAGATTTAAAGAGTATCTCAGGGTAATAGTTTCAGGGAGTCCTCTGGTCTCAACCGATCCAGGAAGTCTGGCTTTTTAAGAATTTGAGTTCTGTTCCGCGTTTTTCTACCGTTCTATCAGGGTCCATCTGTGGTGACCCTGATCAGAATGGTCAGTAGTGGTAGCTAGGCAGCATTTAGTTCTTCTGGTCTCAGGGTAGATGAGGCCGTGGCTTGTGTAGGCTATTAGCCCTGTAGACTAGTTTCTTCTCTGAGAAGAGAGTTACGTTTTTGCTTTGCAGCCGAGTCTAGTATTGTTTATGATCAGATGTGTTATAAGTAGCATTCATTATTTTTTACCTTGGTGAATTTTAGACAATGACTGTTTATTTTGCTTGCATTCTGAATGATTAATCCAGGTTCATATTTTAAATTACTCATACATTTAGGATAACATTTCAGAATACATAAGGGGCTACATTGTGAAATTTCTGTTTATGTTGAATAAAAACCTTTCCTTATTTTTCTTAATTCTGTTTGCTCTGCTTCACTTTCTCTATGTGACCCTTCTTTTAGCATTTCACCTGATGGCTTCTTCTGCAGTGGAAGTCCCACAGCCTTCATTGCTTAGGTCACTGATGTGTTATTTAAGCATACACCATCTAGAGTTCTTCTTTGTCGTTCTTTTATATATGTTTCCCTTCTTTTCATTTAGATCAAATGTCTTTAACTTAGGTTATACATATGCACTTAAATACACACACATACACACATATATAGCACATATATAGCATATACATCCATATTTCTATATGTATATGCAGACACACGTATACATATCTAGATGTATGTGTATATATATACAGACACACACACATGCGCAATTTCTCTTTTTAAATGTTTGTACTAGTTTCCTAGGGCTTCTGTAACAAAGTACCACAAAGTGCATG